TTTCATCCGTATAGGAATCATCAGGTGGTGAACTGGACCACCTGATGATTCCTATACGGATGAAACAGACTGTTGTGGTTTTTGAGGTAAAACGAAAAACTATATATATATATATATATATATATATATATATATATATATATATATATATATATATATATATATATATATATATATATATATATAAACTGGAAAGACTTACCATGGTCAAGGGTCTGTAATTTGATCGCTTTGTTGTATTTCCTTTCTTAAAAGCAGCTTTTAATTTTCCCTTTTTCCATGCTTGGGGTACTTTCCTCGTTTCTCTACTCTTGTTAAAGACAATACGCAAGCCGTCTATTAATGCCTCTCCCGCAATGTTAAATTCTTTTGGTTTGATGTCATTTGGTCCGGATGCTTTATCAGGATTGATTGTTTTAATTTGGTTCACTAATAACTTATCGTAATTTTCAGCTCATCAATACTTGGAGTTATTCTCAATATTAACTGTTCCGATTCTATTTGTGCAGGGAATGCTTCCGCCAACTTTTCGCCAACTGTTGCAAAGTAATTGTAAGGTATGGGCTACCTGTAGCGGACATGCGCAGCAACAGAGAGATTGAGACAGCATGTTGAGATTCTAGTTTGGTTGTTTTCGACTGTTTTAAGACATGTAATAACCTTTATTAGATTGCTATAATAGACATAATACAATTTGTATTGTTATTACATAATTATTCATCAATTCAGCCTTTTCCTTTTCGTTTATTTGTACATTTCCTAGGTCATCTTCAAGTGGTCCAATTTGTATTGCTTTCGTTTTCCTGTGCACTTTCTTCACTACCTTCCAGAATTCTTTAGAGTTAGTTGCATTATCAAATTCACTTTTCCAATATTTGGATTCCGCTTTTCTCATCCGAATATTTGCTAAATTTCTCGCTTCCTTATATTTCTTATGTGCTATTGGATTTTTAGTGTGCTGCCAGTTCTTCAGAAGTTTAAATCTCTTATTCAAAAGCTTTCTGATTTCCGTATTAACCCACGGCAATGAATTTTGCTTCACTTTGACTTTTCGCTCTGTGATATACTCATCTACCACGTCTTTATATAACAGTTCCCAGGCATTTTGCACATCATCTAAATCGTCAAATATATCACATACCCACCATGGGACGTTTTGTAATGCTGATTTGAATTTACTTTTATCTACATATTTGTAGTTCTTCACAGTTTTGATTATTGGGTGTTCTCTTTTCTTAATTAAATTCATAATAGCATAAATCATTTTGTGATCAGATATAGCCGGATCTAATGTCCCTGCTTTTATTATTTTAGATTTATTGCTCAACAGAATTAAGTCCAATAACGTCGCTGATGAATTGGCGACTCTAAGTTGGTTCTGTGATGACATTTGTTAAGCCATAGATTTTAATAATACGCTGTAGCTTTCTTCCGTGCTGACTTTTGTCTTAAATTTGTTTGTTTTGAAAAGATCAAGAGTTAAAGTCACCCATGATTAGCATGTTGTTACGCTTAAGCCACAATTGTTCTAAGATTCTATTGAACTCATCATAAAATTCATTGTTATCTGGTGGTCGATAGACATTCCCTATCAATAACCGCTGCCAACTTATTGTGATTTCCAGCCATAAGGCCTCTATGTTATTGACCATAATTTCTGGTTTTGGGATGACATTTAAATTCTCTTTATAATAAACCAAACAGCGTCCACCGTCTTTGTGCTGTCTGTCTTGCCATAATTCATATTTAACATCATTCAGGTTTGCTATTGGGCTATTCCATTTATTTAATATCCGTACCCTCCCCCTCCCCCCCCCCTGTCGAGGATCCCTGGAATTCTTCATGGGTAAAGGGTTTTGAGCTTGGAATTCGTCAGGGGTAAAGGGTTTTGAGCTTGGAATTCTTCAGGGATAAAGGGTTTTGAGCTTGGAATTCTTCAGGAGTAAAGGGTTTTGAGCTTGGAATTCTTCAGGGGTAAAGGGTTTTGAGCTTAGAATTCTTCAGGGGTAAAGGGTTTTGAGCTTGGAATTTTGGAATTCTTCAGGGTAAAAGGTTTTGAGTTTGGAATTCTTCAGGGGTATAACCATGAAAAACATGTATCTTCGACAGGGGGTGTACGGATATTAAATGGAATAGCCCATTACTTAAATGATAATACAGTTTCTGAATGAGATGCTGCAACAATGTGAATATTGGGTGTTCTTTACTTTCACATGTTGTGATGCAATATCTCGGCACATGGTGGTCAACTGTAAAAGAAAACACAGTTACCGGTGTGAGTAAATTGTTCACTATATGTCTGACCTTATGCTTGCTGGCAAATACATGAAATTTATCCTCATTTGCTCACTCCCTAAGCCATCAGTGTTGATACATGTAATGTTGACCGCCATGTGCAACCCTTTGTACAGTATAACATCTTGACGCTACCAATTGTTTACATCAGAAGGTGCTCACAGTACATATATGTGCAGAACAGACTTGACTGTCTCCTAAACCCATTGAGTCTCATTTTATGTCTCAGATTATGTTACTGTCTAATGCCAGACGATTTTACTTGTCGAGGGGGAGAGCACTAGCGCTTAGTGGGTTAACTGACCTATCTGCCCATATATCTCGTTAACCCAATGAGTCGCATTGCACCCTTACTTTATTATTTTCTGTCTAATGCCAGATATTTTACTTGTCAAGGAGAGAGTGCTGGGACTTAATGGGTTAGGCATCCGCTTGGTCTAATAACAATATGTTTCAAATCCAACCGAAAAAATTTAACGAATTGAGAATATCTTAAAAAAAACACCCCTGGAACATGTGAAAATATTACCATTAATGGAAACACAATAGACGTTGTTAGATCTGTCAAATTTCTAGGAGTTACATTGCAGATCGAGTAATTTAAAGTGGAATGAGCACATCAACAACATCGTCAGAAAGGCGTCCAAAAGACTCTATTTTCTGTCACAACCGAAAAGACTTAGTTAACTTTTACGTGACATGCATCCGTTCACTGTTACTATATTCTTGCCAACTTTTCCGCTTTAACCTCCCGGAGTTTTTAAACATATTGCTGGAACGAATTCAGAAACGAGCGTTGAATATCACATATGGTTACGATGTACCGTATTCTGAAGCGTTGGTAATGTCGAAACTGCATAAACTCCCCGATCATCGTAGTCATCTTTGTGATGAATTTTTCAACAAAATTGTAATGAACCCAAATGATAAACTTCATGGGCTTCTGCCTTATAACCTGAGCGTAATTTCTTCGTTAAGGAACAAAAGAGATTTCACTATACCTATATGTAAAACGGACCGTTTCAAAAACTCCTTTATAATTGCAGCCGCTGGACGGTGTAATGACCGCAACCTCGTTCCCAGGCTCTTTGCTCTTGGGAAGCAAAGACCCTGGTCGGGGCTTATGACGTCACACATACAAAATTGATAGCCGGAGGGGGGGATGGAAAAGTCTCATATTACATGTTTCCACTTCCGCACTTCGATTGCAAGGAGTGGCCGTTCTGTACAATCATCTAATTCATCTTCAAGAATCATATATACCTCAAACTACTTGCTGAATTGGTTTCTGTTTGCTTTAAAATTATACAAACATGCTAAAATGTAGATTCTTATAGCAACAGAAAATTCAGGAAATCAAGCAACGAGAACGTATGGCTGTACGCTTTGAAATATGTTTATTTTCTCGGACTTCGCCGGTTCGGGCGTAGTTTCATTTCACGCGTACGTTTCTGTTCTGGCTCTGATATTTATAATATGCTTATAATATGCCAATGAATTGTTCTGATATGGACACGGTATAAAAATTTTTAAACAGATGTCTCAAAAGCGACTGTTTATAGGTCGTAGGATTAGCGCCTTGCCGGTCTTAAACGTGACACATTTGGACACAAGCCAAATACACATTGAATGTCCATTTTATTGATTCTAAAACTGTTTATAGACATATTGCTCTAGCTTTTTTAGAAAGGTTATCATCGTTTATGTTAAACACCAGGAAGACAAAATATAACGTACAAAATTGTTTGAAATCGACAGTGGGTGTCAGTGCACAGCTGACATACGACAATTCACAACTGCATGAATTTCCATTTTTTGTCGATCTGCACGAGTACCTGTTTGTTGAAGCCAAAATATTGCACAGCATATCCTATAAATTCTATCGCCATTTACCCTCCCCCCTTAAATGCAAAGGAATGACAGCAGAAAAGGTTTAGCAAAGTATTTTTTATTACATCTGGTATAAAGTGTCCTACGTTTTATCAGGATATACATAATTCATAAACTGTATATGCACACGAAGTCTCGCTTATTAATGAGTTTTACTGTAACAAACCTTTTAAAGTTTCCATGGATAGATAGGTTGTTTGCCTCCAGTATTGTTTGGTAAAACAGACTAAACTTCTAAAATATTGGTTACGGAATACGCCGATAAAGATTAAAGTTGATTTAAATATTGATAACTCACAGCGGCATTAATCCATTATACAAGTCTCAAGAAGCTGGATTATTCTTCAATAAAGCCCTCAATGGACAATGCCAATGTCAATGAAAGGTCTAATATTATACATGTTGCAAATTACTGTATACACAAAATATGAAATAATTTATATAAAGTACAATACCAATGTCTGGTGCACATATCGTCGTAGGTATTCAAGTTGTACCGCACGCACGGAAACGCATGGAGGAGTCTTGGCGTTTGTGTGATATTAACAGATAGCTAACTACACTTCGACATTATCTTTCTTGATCGTTGAGTTTCAGCAATTAGTCAATAAAAACAAATCATTTGAAAGTCACGCGCAATCTTCGCGAAAATTCCTTGACAGGGGGGGGGAATATTTTCACGAAACGTTGTTCGCCACCACAGCAATTCAAGTTTCAACTAAATATATTGTATTTATTGTATTTTATGATTTAAAAATAAAAATTAAAAACATTAAATATTTACGTATTTTTATTATCAATCATAAAAATGCAATGAATATATTAATATATCCAGATATCCAGTTAGGTTGCTGTGGGAACAACGTTTCGTGAAAATATGCGCCCCCCCCCTGTCAAGTAGCCACGAGGAATTTTCGCGAAGATTGCGCGTGACTTTCAAATGATTTGTTTTTGTTCCTATCCTGAATTTGTTGTGGGAGGTTTTTTCCTTCAAAGTGCAAGTAATTTTTTCAATTTTTCTTTTAGGACTATTCTACAATGAAGTACTCTTGGATACTGTAATCTAAATACATATGAAGACGAAGAAGTGGCATTTATCGGGCAGAGAATCGGCGAGCTATTAAAATGGCGGCATATGGACGAAATATCGAAGGACACAATATCGAAGATAAAATACACTGCACTGCTCCAAAACTTGCCGAAACTTGGTTGAAATCTCCTTTAGCCATTTGCCATTATGTAAAAGTACAACAACTGGATGTTATTTGCGAGACACGGCGATATAAAGCAAACAAGACGGCAAAATATGGCTGAAATCGTGTTTTCGTGGGGGTAAGTGAAATAAAATATATTATATTTATAGAAAACAGTGACTATCCTTATGAAAACTACAATAATTATATTAAATTAAGCATAGTTTTTCATCCCATGGTAATTTTTTTTAGGAAATAAGGATATTTAATTTCTGCCATGTATATTAGTTATTTTCTGCATAATCAGCAATTTACCTGGGGTGATAAATGGTCATTTTCTTGTAAAATATTATACTTACACAAATTTTTCCTTCCAATAACCACCCCTAAAAGCAACCCTTCTAAACACTATAAGCACTTCAGAAAGGCTGTCGCTTTTGCTTTTCGGAAGTTAGAGCTATGTCGGCACTGCCGTTTCAGGGCGGGGTCATTTTCAGGACTTTCGTCCAGGATTCAGGTTTTGGCACATATGCCATGTTGACCGCCATGGTCATTTTACCCTAAAACAGTTGAGATTACCTGTGGTAAATGAAACGCATACAAACTCATATACAGGTCCTAGACTAAATTCAAAAACCCCTAGTTTTGCGGCAGACGGTATTTCCTTTGCTTCCCTAATTTTCGCTGCCCGTAGAAATACCGCCTGCCATGCAGGCTACTAACTCCCCAAACGTTCGCTCTCTTACCGGAAATGTCCTGTTGTTGTTTTGAAAGCCGACCAATGACAATGCAGCGTGTAATTCGAATTTGAAGGCCATGATTTCAGATCGGTCACAAACCTCGGAAGATTAGACATTTGTAAGTTTCAATTGGCATTTTCTGCAGGAAGACTATTGTTAAATTCTGTTAAAGAAAAGTATATTATGTAAAAATTATCGCTCTTCCGATGTAACGTAATTTGGCGACGATGCGAGAGCCGAAGCTCGCGTTATTCGATTGATTTCTGTCAGCG